TGGTTGTGTTTCATGGGCAATGACTCTCTGGACAACCCGTTTTAAAAGTGGTCAAATAATAATTATCTCTTACCCGAATTTTAACTATTTATTATTTAGATACTTATTGTATTCACTCATTTTTATTGAAAGTAGAGGGTATTTTAATTTTTAAGTACAGTTCTGCTTCATCAGTTTCACTACTTAAATTTGTTTTATTTATTTTTCGTATTTGAGTAGAGTTTTGAGACTAACAGTAAATCAGTAATATGAGATGTATTCACCCTATTTCGTTTAAGGTGATGAAGGACTAGTAGCAGAACGAATTTTGGGAAAGCAACGCAATGTGAAATTTAATGGAAACTTCAGCTCTAATCATATCATTTTGGAAAAATTCTACTACCAGTCCCTTATCGCCTTAAACGAAATAGAGTGAATACATCTCATATTACTTGTTTTATGTAGTCTCATGAAACTGAGCATTGCCTTCCTTTTAACCTATATTTTAGTCAGGTTTTAGGTAGGTATATTACATCACAAATTAAACTTTTAGTACTTGGAATAGAAGAAGATGAATAACACTAAGTTGCTAAGATATCCTATCGATTTTCAACCCTCATTCCATTAGCCATTGCTGGTATGCTCTGATACTATATGAAGAGAAGCTGGGTTTCTAGTTTACTAATATTGATTACATGCTTTCTTTATTTTACAGGAACCTCCACTGACGTTAGTCGATTTGATGGTTTCCTTGAGCATGTCTTCGAGACCACTATTGCTGGCGTCAGCATACAAACACCTCAATTAGACATCAATACCGTTGCTGCTGGCGGTGGATCATGTCTTAAATTCCAGTCTGGTCTTTTTAAAGTAGGTCATTAATTTTATTTCACAATTATGAGCTAGTGTTGAGCTTACTTCCATTTTGAATTAATGTGTGTAATGAAGAGATTCGAAGAAGATTGTCTCGAGGACAGCATCAACAAGAATGTTCTACTAAAACCAACCGACAGCTGACCAAGTGGAATTCGCCATCGTCTTCTGGTGGGCTCGACCTTCTATTGTTTTCGTCACATATTTTCACTCGAACTGCTAATGAACTCAACCAATAGATTCCTCGAAGAGCTCTTGGTTGAGATTGCATGGCTTAGGTTAATCTTTTCACTTGCTTCATCTGGCATCATAATATTTATACCTTTGGACCTAATTTTTGTGATATTACACTCGGTATGATTTGGTTAGCATCGTCTCCTATTAGTCCTCATCTTTTGCCTCAATTACTTAATTTATTAAGCTGGGATTTCTATTTCTTTTAACTTGTGACCCCGCTCAACTTCTTGTTCAAATGGATTTGAGCTTAATTTCTATTTTGCTACCTTTGAAGACTAATCTTTTTATTACGGCTCTCATAATTTAATTAATAACTGGATGAATTTTTCCCAACAAAAATTCTTTACAAAAACCGGCACCCATAAGAATGCTAGCCTTTATGCAAGGTGAAAGCACCATATTTCTTTACGTCTAACCTTACTCTATGAAGGTTATAAAGAGTAAGCTTGTAAAGGCCTAACCTGTAAAACTGATAATAAAAATAAATTTTTTTGCCGTTATTATTCTAACTAATAAGCTAATATCATAGTGTAAATCAAATAAAAGGACAAGAAAAAAACGAACTAAAACACTTAATATTTTTAGGCATGGCAAACCCCCATATTGCTTGGTTAGGCCTGCTATTTGGTCATTTTTTGGCTACTTGCCAATTACTCAGATATCTGCTTCTATTTTTCTTGATGTTTAACTCATTTTAGGTGTCATGTAACTGCTTCTTGTTCTGCATATTATTAATCTTCAAACTCTGGTTGTACTTTTGAATCTATTTTACGTGATATGCATCCTTTCAAATATCTTAGAAGTCATTTGATACGAAATAATCTAAACATTATATTAGTTTAGAAGTTGTTTAACCTTGTTTTCGCAACTCAGTCATATTGGTAGGAAGACTTAGAGGAACGCACCTTGTTCGGAGTCGATTGTATGCATAATCATTTCCAAAGTCGGACCGTGGACGTGGTACATTCCCAGATGTTTCGCCGGCATTGTAGTCGGCATCGTCAGTGAGTCTTGTCATTCGTAGCACCATATTACAACTCGTCAAAGAGACAAGTGAAGCCGATTATTTTACCAAACGTGTGCTAAACAGTTATGGTATCTCCCCTTGTGCCCTGGCCTATTCACATTGCATATATCCTCCTATCACGCCTTCACTGTCACAATTTTTTTACTTGCTTTATTAGATGTGGTACAGTGTGCCATTTTGAGCGGCTTTCATGAGAACCCTCCGCACTCCGCGCTGGCCTTCTCACCCCCCTTCATCCTTGTGCTGGGAATGTGGATCAGAGTCTGCCATATTGTTACGCCGTCCTTCTTCCCTAGGTCTTACCACAGTCTTTCTCTTGCCTCGTAGAATCAATCTGCGATCTCTCTTGTTCAAGTATTTCTCTCTATCTGCTACTCGAGGTGTTATTAACCCTTCTCTGTGGTTGGGTGACTAATTCGAGGCTAAAGCCTCTGAATAATTCTTATGGTCAAGCCTTTGCCACATGGAACCACGTCTCTTATAAAACCTACTGTCAGCCCACTAGCTCCCATCGCCGCCGCGTCTATCCTGTTTCTATTATTAATAACAAGTCTATGACTTGCCATGCCCTAGTCTCTTGCGTGTCAACCCAAAAATGTTGTTGTACTGCTTGCTTTGACTAGGTTCAATGTTGTACCACAACGTTTGTGGGTTGGCCCACAAGAGACTTGGTATTAGAGATAGAAAGAGGATATACGCAGCGGCGATGGTAGCTAGTGGGCTGACAGTAGGATTTTTAAGATACGTGCTCCAAGTGGCAAAGGCCTCACCATGAGACTAACTCGAATGCTTTAGCCTCGTATTAGTCACCAAGACGCAGGGGAGGGCGAATAACGCCTCTAGTGGCACAGTTGGGATGGCAAGGGTCAAGTGAAATATGTGAACCAGGGAGAGGGCAGACGGATCTTACGGGGCAGGAGAGAGACTGTGGTAAGACCTAGGGAAGGACGCCTGCGTAGCAATATGGCAGATTGATCAACATTTCCAGCACAAGGATGAAGAAAGGTGAGAAGGCCAGCGTAGAGTGCGGAGATTTCTCATTAAAGCCGCTCAAAATGGTACACCGTATCACATCTAATTAAGCAAGTAAAAAATTGTGACAGTGAAGGCGTGATAGGAGGATATAGGAAATGCAAATAGGCCAGGGCAGTGTTAAGCACACGTTTGGTCAAAGGATTGGCTTCACTTGTCTCTTTGACGAGTTGTAATATGGTGCTACGAATGGCAAAACTCACTGACGATGCTGACTACGATGCCGGCGAAACGTCTGTGAATGTACCACGTCCGCGGTTCGACTTTGAAAAGGATTATGCATACAATGGACTCCGGACAAGGTACGTTCCTATAAGTCTTCCTACCAATATGACCAAGTTGCGAAAACTAGCTCGACCAACTTCTATACAACGAAAGGCGACTACGGCCACACAAAAGGCCACACTATCTTGGTCTTCATACCTTCGATTAGTTTAGTTTTTTCATTGAATGCATTCATATTTCATTTGGCTGTCACTTGAGATATATTTAACTCACTTAATGCTTTTGCTCTATAAGCAAATAATCCTAAGATAGTTGTCGTCATTAGTCTCTACTATTAAGAGCCAGTCTTTGGCATAAATTCTTGTCTCATTTTTGTTTATATACTCAATCAAATCTTTGTTTATTTTCTAAGGTTGGTCCCGAATCTGCAGGAGCTCGTCCCGGTCCAATCTCCTACGGCAGAGCTGGTGGTCGATTGACAATCACTGATGCCAACCTTGTGCTTTCCCGCATTCTCCCGCATCACTTTCCTTGTATCTTTGGTTTGCAAAACAATCAGCCACTAAATAAAGATTTGGCGGTCTCTGCTATGCTCAAATTGACTGAAGAGGTTTGCCCAACTAGAAATTTTTAAACACGGGAAATTACTGTAAATGAGATGTTTTTTTGAGGAACAGCCCTGGCAAAATTTTCACCATACCATTTAAACTAGCTATGATTTTATTGTAGGCGTTTGATTTTGTTTTCGCAACTTGGTGATATTGGCAAGAAGACCTAGAGGAACACACCTTGTTCGGAGTCCATAGTATGCATGATAATTTCCTGAGTCGGACTGCGGATTTTATACATTTTCGGACGTTTCGTCGACATCTTTGCTGAGCCTTGTCATTCTTTGCACCACACTCCAACTCGTCCGAGACAAGTGGAGTCGATTCTCTGACCAATTTTATGCTAAACAATCGTGGTATCTCTTATGTTCTGGGATATTTACCTATCATATATCATCGTACCACCCCTTCGCTATCACAATTTCTTAATTGCTTATTTAACTGTGGTATAGTGTGCCCTTTTGTGCGGATTTCATGAGACCTCTTCATAACCCACGCTCGCTTTCTCGCCCCATCTATCTGCCACCGTCCTGAGAACGTTGATCTAAATCTGAAATATTGTTCCGCAGTCCTTTTCGCATAAGTCCTATCACTGGTTGTCCTGATTCATGATCGGATTTTCATTAAATCCTAGTTGAAATCTGTTTCTTTATGACGCCTACATTTATTTTTATAAATTACCAAGGTAACTCCTCGTTCCCGAACTCATTGTCCGTTAATCTTAAGCTGCTGATGATCATACCCCTCAGTATTCCGTTCTTTAGTCTGTAGTTATGCTAAGCATGGACATTAAGGATTATTCCTGCATATTATTTTTTTTCTGAACAGTCTTCTCATCAGTGTTCAGTCGGAGCGTATGACTTCAATATCCAGATAGGATAGTCATTTATTCTCCTCCATCCATTGTGAATTTGATTCGTTCATCAAGTTGGTTAATAAAATTGAGGATTTCATTCAAATTTTCCTTACCATGTGATCAAAGTGCAAAGTAGTCATCCAGGTATCGCATAATCACTCTTGATTGCAGTGATGACTTCTCGAATTCCCTTTCCAATTTGCCCATGTATACATTGCCAAAAGAGGTAATTGTGGTGATCCCATCGGTATTCCACATATTTGCTTCTAGATATTGCCGTTAAAGGTAAAATAGGTGGTCCGTATTGCCAGATTGGTCAGTCGGGTTAACTCCGTATCCGTTCTGCCTACAGGTTATCCTCTTCTCGTTACAATATCTGTAGCAGAGAGCTTACCGCCTTCTCGCCTGAGATGTTTGTGTACATGGATTTCATGTCGAAACCTACCAACAGATACGTCCAAACCAGTCCAATGTTCTGAATCCTCTGAGACTATTTATATGAATTCTTAATGGTATTCGAGAATAGGTCATTTACTTTCTTATGCTTCAAGCAAATGAATTTTACTAGCTTTTGTGTCGCTCCATGCTTGTTGTTGACTATTAGTCTTAGCAGATTTCCTTCATTGTGTATCTTCGGTAGTCTGTAGGCTTTCGGTGGTTTTGCGTCATTCTTTAACTAAAGATTTCATCATCCATTCATCAATTTCCCCATTATTATGCATTTACTTGAGCATATTCTTCATTGTTCCTTTGATATGCATTGTTTGATCATTCCTTAGTATTTGACAGGTGTTCCGGTCGCCTAGGATACTTTTCATTCTCTCCATGTACTGTTTCCTGTCCATTACCACCATTGCTCCTCCATTATCCGCCTGAAGAACTATTTTATCATTCTTTTGTAATTTTTTGCGTATACCAATCAATCTGCTTGATGTGCCAGGATTCGTGAGACTATTTCCATTTTCATCTCCCACAATGTCTCTTCTGGATATGTATCCATTATGTTAAAACTTCCACAAGAATCTCATCAAGATCGTTTCCTTCGTTACCTAGGGAAAAATGAAACTCTTTCTTTAAGAGATCCATGCTCTCATTATCAAGTGGGACTGTGAACAAGTTGACTACCTTATTCCTATCCTCGTGTGTAGCTTGTGTTGCCTTCAATACAGAACCATCAAAATTTGCCCGGGTCGGCTTAATATTGTGTTGTCTTATTATCCCATATCTAAGCAATCTCTTGTTATTATGCTTATTTATCATACACCGGACCCTTTGTGAGTTTTTGAAAATCCTTCGGAGTAAGAACCCTGCCTAGTTCCTTCTTAAATCTATACTTGATATCTATGAACTTAAATAGCTTATGCATCTGCCTTGTAACTTTCGTCCAATTTCTGGATTGAGGCGTTATAAAGTATTTCATTATCTGTGTCCCAATGACATTTCCTTATTAGGTTGCAGATTCCCGGAGCGATACCATAATGTTTACAACAATTAAAAAAGGTCAAATGGCAGGATTGACATACAATTGTCTTCTTTGTCTGGCTGTCATCGGTGCATTGTTTTGCAATCTTACTTTCATAGACCAAGATGGTGTGGTCTTCATACCTTCGATTAGCTATGATTTTACTCACTACATCATTATAACAGCGATTAAAGTGTTTTTAATGAAATATTTTTTAATTCACTTAACATAACCTTAAACGAATCATGACCCTTTTTGGCTTACTATGCTGAGGCTAAATAACTTATGCTTTTTGACATTGGATTCTATGAAGAAAAACTGCTTTCCTAAGAATTCCTTAGTCATTTATTTTTACATGCCTTTTCATTTAAAAGGAAAAGTGGTTAGAAGGAATTCGTGACGGGGTTTCATCGCGAATTTTCTTTCGAAATGTTAAGCAATGACACAATTGAACTCTTTTCTTGATTACTATCATATGTCTGTTATAAGTAGCTTATGCTTTATCTGCCAATTGTTAACTTTTTCCTCTCTGGACAAAATTTTGTGTTTCATCCATTTCTCTTCCTAAACCAACATATCCGCCTAATGGCAGATAAACCTCTGGAACACGCAACAGCACATTGACTTACTTGAGTCACCGCAGCCTGTCTCTCTTTCACTGGAGGAAGTTGCCCTTGGCTTTATTCGCGTGGCTAACGAAACTATGTGTAGGCCAATTCGGGCACTGACTCAGGCAAGTGCTTGTCTATCCCATACATTTCATTTTTATTAATATAATGTGTTTTATCCACTTTGAAGCTTCTACCTATTTGTAACTCACATTTTACTCAGTAAGAATTAATCTTCAATCTTACTTCTATTTTTATGGGAAATATATGTGGAATTTCCTCTCCAAGATCGGGCATGGTCAAATTAAAGGTTTTTTTAATATTATTACCACGGCTTTGAATATAAGAATGAGAAGAATTATCTATGTTCACCACAGAGTTTTAACACACCCCTTCATACTCATGAACAGAGTACGAAATAGGATGAATAGATATCATATAACTGATTTACTGGTAATCTCGAAACCATACATATAAATGAAAAATACGAGGATGTAACATATAAAGGAATATAAATTTTTTTGACCAAAGAATGCGAATTAATTTGGACAAGGACAAAGTAGGACAATTAGAGTGATCTTTAACGTAATGGCAGCCAGCATTAATTATGCGATATTTGGATGACTACTTGGCATTCTGGTCGCATAATCTTTTCAAACGAAATGGATGAAAAGTCAAATTTATAATGGATGTGGAACAGAACGGACACTTACTTTTCTTGTATGTGGAAGTCATTTGGTAAGAAAAGACTCAAGAAACAGCCGTGCTAACGATGACACCTCTCACTGACAATGCCGACGAAACGTCTCAGAATATACTAAGTCAATGGTTTGATGCTGGAAATCAGGAATTTTATGGCAGAGGACGCAGGACTATGTACTTTCCACAAGGTATCCCTGACGATTTAACCAAGTTGTGAACACGAGGTCAAATCTATAATATAAAGCTAAGGGAGACTTAGATTAAACAGAAGGCCGCACCGTCTTCGTCTTCGTATATACGATCTAATATAATTAATATTTGTTTGCACACTTCTAAGTAAGGCTGCTCAGTTTTATGTTTTGCGTTTCAGATTAGGTCATGGTTCTTCATCCGTTACGCCAAGTGAACTTCATGTAAAGCGTTCATGAATTTTATAAGCCAACTTTTTCATGAACAAAACGTATCCCTAGAAATGGGTTGACCTCGTTGTCGTAACTTGGTCTTGTTGTCAGGACGACTTAGTAGAACGCATCTAGTCCGAAGTTGTCTGACATAGTAGTTGTCATAATTCCCAACATCAGACAGTAGACTTGGACATTCTCAGACGTTTCGCCGGCATCGTAGTCGGCATCATCAGTGAGACTTGCCATTCTCCGCACCAAGACATTTTCAAACGTTTCGCCGGCATCGTAGTCGGCATCATCAGTGAGTTTTGCCATTCTCCGCACCAAGCTACGAACGCACGTTTCGCCGGCATCGTAGTCGGCATCATCAGTGAGTTTTGCCATTCGCCGCACCAAGCTACGAACTCGTTTTCGCCGGCATCGTAGTCGGCATCATCAGTGAGTTTTGCCATTCGCCGCACCAAGCTACGAACTCGTCAAAGAGAAAAGTGAAGCCAATCCCTCGACAAACCTCGTAGTCGGCATCATCAGTGAGCCTTGCCATTCTCCGCACCAAGATACGAACTCGTCAAAGAGACAAATGAAGTCATCGTAGTCGGCATCATCAGTGAGTTTTGCCATTCGCCGCACCAAGCTACGAACTCGTCAAAGAGACAAGTGAAGCCAATCCATCGACAAACGTTTTT